TAATTCGAGCGTGCCATATTAATACGAATGGCACCATCTTTAATAAATCTGTACAAGTGGTCGGATACGCAGATGACATAGCCATTCTGTGGACCTATACATACTCGGTCCACAGAATCTCTGATCGAATCATTTCGATCATTAAGGGCGTCTGCTCTGAGAATGGGATTAAAAATAAATGCACAGAAAAAAAAGTATATGTATTGTACTAGATCAGGCAACCAGATATCTAGACTATTAAGTGATGATCTGGAACTGGAAGGTGTGGACACCTTCATCTACCTGGGCTCGCTGCTGACCAAAGATAACAATGTCAGCGAAGAAATTAAAAGAAGGATAGTACTTGCCAATAAGTGCTACTATGGCTTGAGCAAACAGATAGCCCCAAAACTACCCAGAAAAATTAAAGTTACCATATAAAAAACACTAATAAGGCCAGTGTTAACATACGGGTCAGAAACGTGGTCACTTACACAGAACGACCAAGAATTGCTTAAACGTTTCGAGAAAAAAATTGTAAGGAAAATATATGGAGGAGTCCAAGAACAGGATTTGTGCGTAAGCGCTACAACTTTGAGTTATACAGAAGTTTTGGGAAACCTGACGTTGTAATATATATATAATATATATATATATATATTATATATATATATATATTATATATATATATATAATATATATATATATATATAGTTGAACACTAGAACAACTATGTGGTATCCCAGGAATGCTAAGAGACCAAAGAGGCGCCCGAATCTCAGATGGGATTATGATATAAGAAAATTAACAGGAACAACGTGGTCTCGAATAGCACAGGATAGAAAAATATGGACGCAAATTACAAGAACAACGAATAACTAAGACATCGTCGAATACTAATAAGAACATAGAATAACATTGAAATAAGGGAGGCTGCACCGTAATTGGAAAATGGTAGACAAAGCTGCACATGATGATGATGATATATATATATATATATATATATATATAATATATATATATATAATATATATATAATATAAATATATATTATATATATATAATATATAATATATATAATATAATATATATATAATATATATATATATATATATATAATATATAAATTATCACGCCTTCGATGGATAGGACATGTAATTAGGCGAGATGAAGATGCAACGATCAGAAAAATTTTCGACCGAAGAGACCAGTGGGAAGACGATCCAGATGAAGATTAAAACTCAGATAACAATATAACATAGAGGATGATCCAAAATCCATCGAGTTAAAGCATGGAGAAGAGTTGCTTAAGACAGGGGCAAATGGAAGATTGTTCTGAATAAGGCTTTGACTTATATTGAGCTATAATGCCCCTGATGATGATGATCGAAAATATCCACCAAAACAACACAATAAAAGTAAAAGTAGACGAATTAACTTACTCTGTTAAAGCTGTTAATGAAATAAGACAGGAAGATTTCCTGAGTCCTCTATTATTCGACTTGATCATGGATAAAATATTAAAAAAAGTAAAATGTAAAAAAGGATACCAAATGGGAGAAAAACAACTTAGTTGCTATTGAAACAAGTGCAGATAAAGCTTCTACATCACAAGGTCATCGTTCTTATCTTAATGTTAAATGCAAAAGGAGGAAATCAGATGGTACAGGTTTGAATTGTGTTCTAGATTCGTTGCAAATTATTTTGTGCTGTAGCACGAAAGAAGCACGTAAGTGTAGCATATAGCGTAAACAAGGTTAACGATGTGGAAGATCTTGTAGACAACAGGGACAGGCTTCCCCGAACATACACGGTCAAATGGCAAACAAGAAGATGACCTAATGTAGTTTTTGATAATATGATTGGTATTAGCGCACTGAACTTGCAAACGTAAATTTCTCAAGCAGTTAGGAAAGGAGTTAGTTGCTATTGAAACAAGTGTAGGTGAAACTTAAACACCATAAGGTCATCTGCAAAACCTGGAGAATTAAAAAGTGGTAGATGTTGGAAAATCTTGGATCGTTCTTGTCTTAATATTAAATGCACATGGAGAAAATCAGATGGAACAGGTTTTACGAAATTTTACAAAATCAACGATACTGATCTGGCTGTTATTGAGAAGCTGGGGTTGAAGAGCTTAGATGAAGAGTTAGATAAATATATCAAGAATCCCCTTAATAAAGAATTTTATCTTAATCTAGAACCAGAATCAGGGGAAACCAAAGACCATACTCCAGTCTTAAAACTATTAAAACTATTTAGAATTTTTTGTTATTTCTACGAGGATATTATATATGTACATTTTCCAGTATTTTGCTAAGTTTCTACCGATTTTTGTTTAAAATTTCAATAAAAATATGAAATCAACTTGTTCAATTATTTTGATATCCATATATTCCCTCCAACAAATATCTTAGTAAAAGTAAGATTTGAAATAAATTGAAGATGGGCAGTTTTTCTTGATTTGCCATAATTTTATTTTTAGACAAGTTGTTTTTCAAATAAATGCTTTAATTATAAAATTATTACTTTAATTGGGTAATTTGAGGTCATCTGACCTAGTTATATGGCTAGTTTCAAGTACTATATAGATGTTTTTTCATTGCACATAGTGCGACTAAAAACGTTCTTCTTCTTAGGATGCCTGTCCGTTCCGAACGTTGGTGATCATTCTGGCTATGATTGTCATTCATTCTGACTGTGTTGGTTGCTATACGGAATAGCTGTGTTGAGGTCTTTCTATACCATGCTCTCAGGTTAGCAAGCCAGGATATTCTTCGTCCTGGGGCCCTTTTTACTAGGGTGTACTACACTTTAGCTAATAGCTTCAGAAGTTCTGCAGGAATGTCGTCAAGTCCCCTGTGCCTTTTCATCCTTCATTTTTCTGAGGGCTGCCGTTATTCTTCTGGTAGGATTTCGAGAGTCGAATTTTCTTCAATGGTGAAAAACGTTCTAAAACTTTATAAATCCATTTCGGATATTTTTAAAAATGTTTTAATAAATTTATACCATTTTTACACAAGAAGCTTCTACTGTATAATAAGTGTTTTAAAACTATGGGATACAGTCAACCACTGCGATTTTTCCTTTTAAATTTTACTTCATCCTCCTCTATTTTTTCTCTTTTGTATTTCGATGAACATTTCCTCGTAAATATTTTGTTTTTTCGTTTATGTTTTCTATTTTATAAAATTCCTTCCTTATAGTTAACAACAAATATTTTTATTTCACCATTTTTATCAAAATAGGTCTTGGTGAAGATTTTTGCTAATAGCTTCTTACTCTGGTTGAACTTGCTGACCTCTATTTTCACGGAAACAATTTTCTGCAAAAAAAAACGGAAATACATTCCTTGGAGGATCGACCACTAATAACAGCGTCGCGGAAGTCAGCAGTCGATTATCGCCGAAGCGATTTACTTGTGAAAGAAGAGAAGAGATGAGACGAGGTGATATTTTTGTTATTTTTAGATGTCGAAATTTAATTAACGACTCCTCTTCCTTGTGCCGTAAATTCAAAGTGCATTAAAGCTACCGAAACATAAACAATACAGAGTGATACTTTTTTAGAAAACGCACTTGCAGATCCGTAATTTAGGATTTTATTACAAATATTGTATAACGTGCAAATGGAAGCAGTTTCAGGATTTTAATACACCACGTGATAAATGGCCGTTGATTCAAACTATATAAAATGGTACTTTTTTGGTAATTCAAAAGTCATAGCACAATCGCTAAGACAAGCTAACGAGGAACAAAAAAAATAAATAAACGTTACAACTCGAAGACATTTGAAGACCATATTGAATAATAATGGAAGCCACATTTTTACAGAATTCTAATTTATTGCATTACGTATTTAAAGAAACCTATGTTAAGCCACACAAAAATTATTTGGTAATTATTGCAATAAATGGCGGAGTTATTGATGAAATCGTTTTTATGCAATCGTCCGTTTCTGTACACTTTTTCGCGTAAACCGTGGTAAGCCACATCAAAATGGCGTCGACATCAGGTGCACGTGCTGAATTAAGAGCGGTTTTAAGCGAAAATGGATGCTTTCAGATCTGCAAAATTTAGATATTTTGGAGTAATTGTTAATGCAAAGTGTTTCTAGAGGATACAACCAGTGCTCAGTAAAAAGCACAAGATCTGGCCAATCATTTTCGCTAAGAAATACTTCCAGTTCCTCAACTTTATTGCGTACAGAACATATGTTGTATAAAATAATTTATTAACGATAGATTTAGATATACTGGTATCCAGTTTATCATCTACCACACTTACAATATTATTTATGGTTATTTTTGTGCTCTGTATTGTCAAAGATTCTATTTGATCCTGGTTGGGAAATACTGTGGAATTTTTTGAAGTCGAAACGTTTAAAAATCGATCCCTTTGGGCCACGTAGATTTTTTGTAGATTTGGTCTTTGTATTTTTCACTAATCCCAAATATAAAACACTTATTACGGTTTTCCTCAGTCGGTAATTGCTTTACAATAACATCCGCCTCGGAGAATTGTTCTTAATTTTTTAATAACGAACTCTTAGATATTTTCAGATGATACATGTCGCTTAATTCTATAAAAGTTTAACCAAACTTTACGCTCAGCACCAAAATCACCAGACTCCTCATTTTGACCGAACTTCTTCTTCATAAGTCTGTTTATTTTTCTTTTCTTACTTTGCACTGTTGTAAAATCACTCAAATCCTGCACATGTTGTTGAGCATCGGGAAATTTAGTCCTGTTTCATAGACAAAGCGAGATTAATTATTTTATCCATTTTATTATTTGATATTCGCTTTGCACCTGTAGGTTAGGTGTGTTTGTTGACAAGTTATTTGTGTTGTATACAAAATTGTTGACATCTGATTAAATTGGTTGTTTATATTTATGTTTTTATTTTGAAGAAATACGAAAGTAAATTGCTCTTAGTAGATAATGAAAATATGAAACAGTAATTTCTAAATTAAATTTTAAAAAATCCTTTTGACTGTATTCAAGTGAACAAACACTTACCTGAACAAACAGAAAAAATTCGACCCATTGATAATATTTGATCTGCCTGATGGCTCTTTTCCCCGTCGTTTCTATTCCCGACAATGACAGCTGATCGTTTTGTTGATGTCTTTTGGAAGCTTCCTGAACCACGGTGAACGTTGAATGGATCCAACAATAGGTGTTGAGCACTTCTTCGGGGATGTCCCTGAAACAAATTAAACATTTTTAGTTGAAAGAAGAAAGTCCTGTGGTAGTATTGGTCAGGTAGTTAAAGAGAGTATATAGTTACTTGTGAATGATTATTAACTGGGTGCTTTTTTCATCAGTCTGAGATCGCCTAAGACCATTTCCGTTATCGTAAAATGTGTAAAAAGGGCGAAATATTTTGCTAATTTAAATGACAATTGTTTTGCTCATTCTTTCTTTTCAGTCCTTAGATCCGCCGGAGTGTAGTGGTCATCATGATGTCGTTTATTGTCAGTCTCCAAACATCTGTGTCTCTGTTTATTCTCTTCTTCGATTTCATTAGTCCTTTTTCGAGTTTGGTGAACAAGTTCCTGGCGTTGATCACCTTTACATAGATCCCGGCAATACAATCCCCATGTCTCTGCTATATCTTCTTTGTTGGTTCTCAGACTACCTGTGTGGTCTTCAACGACCCAAGTACTGGCTTTAACTATTTCATTACTGTGAAGACATATATGTTCCAGCGGATTACAAAAAATCTGCTGGCATCTGTTTGTTCTTAAAGCCCATGGTATTTGAACGCATCCGTATTTTTAGACATTTCTTACTCATTACCTAGTACTATGCAACCTAAATATCACGTCAGTAACCTATAAATTGATGTTAACTAAACACGTGCATCAACAACTCGTAAATAATACAATTTTAGTAAAGAAAAAGTGGTTGCTTTAGTTTTTTTAACCGATTATAAATAATTTAGTTGCTAATTAATACAGGTTCGTGATATGACATTGTTTATTTTTGATATTGTTTTCATCGATTTTACCATAATTTCTAAACGGGACCCTAGTGTCCCAGTAGTAGTTTATACCGGGTCGTATTTATCCCATTCGTATTGTTTGGTTGCGGACTTATTCTGGCACGTAGACGTTTTGCGCACAAAAGAGCTCAAGACGAAATTGAAAACCTCTCAAATATGAGATATTCAATCAATATTCTGAAAATGAATCCGAGGAAGAACCTTATGCTGCCTCAGAGTCTGATTATGTACCGGTGACGATTCTGCCTCAGATTCTGATGAAGTACCTGAGAATACTCGTAATCGTGTGGATAACACGAAATATCTGAAGTTGAGTCTGAAAGGAATGAATTGACTGCACAATAGAGTATACCAAATAAAAAGTCCAAAAAAATAAATTCCAACCCAGACAATGAGATAATAATACTAAATATTGATAAAGGTTCTCGTTCTGTTGATATTTTTCTAAAATTATTTCCGCGTAGTACCATCTATCTCACACTGCTTTTCAAAAAACGAAACACTTTCGAATGCTCTCATCAAAAAGCTATTTCAAGAGATCGCTGTTCATTCTTGCTATCTAAGTCCTACTATAATATTCCTGAAAGAAATGATAATACATAAAAAACTACTACATCGATGAACTGGTATCTTGTTTAAAGCAAACTTTTGTAAAGGCGAGGACTGAGAGTTCCCATCAGTCCATCGACGAATCAATGGCTAAGTTCAAAGGAAGATCTGCCCTGAAGCAGTGTCTTCCTTTGAAGCCAGTAAAAAGAGGTATAAAAAGGTGGCAACGAATCTTTAACTTTGTTTAAACCTACTAAACACCATAAATTTTCCATGTTGAAAATAACAAAATATTAAGGTGTGATATGGAGTTTTTAGTTTCATCCGAAGGAATTTTAGCGACTAAATGGAACGATACGAAAGAAGTGATGCTGATGTCCAATGTCATAGTACAACTGTTGGAATTATCAACAGAAAGCTGAAAACTGGAGAAAAAGTTGAGTTCACTTGTCCAGAAGTAATAATTTTTTAAAATAATTTTATGGGAGAAGTAATTCTCGCCGATCAAAATGTTAGTACATATGACTCTCTTCTTCTACGGCACTACACCCAAAATGAGCCTTGGCCTCCTTTATTTTTTGCCTCCACCCTTGTCTGTCTGTGCTGCTCTTCTCCATACACGGACTCCTAAAAGTGCTTGTGCGTCGCTGCTTACTGTGTCTTCCCAGCGCTTTCTTGGCTTTCCAACTGGTCTCTTTCCCTGCATTCTGGCGTTCAGTGCTCGTTTTGGTAGCCTACCTCTCCCATTCGTATCACATGTCCGGCCCATTGCAATCTTTGTATTCTAATGAAGTTTGACAGGGGTGTTTCCTTATACAGTTGATAGAGCTCGTTGTTATATCGAATTCTGAAGATTCCGTTTTCCCTCACAGGTCCTAGTATTCTCCTCAGTACTTTTCTTTCGAATGTGTCGAGTTTGTTTTTGGATGTTTCTTTCAGGACCCATGCTTCGCTGCCATAACATGCTATTGGCCGAATTAAAGTTTTATATATTCTCATCTTTGTATTTCGGTGTACATATGACATGGACCGAAAATCTGCGAATTAGTGAAGAAAAGTTTTTATATGATTAGTTATGTACGCTATTGTAAATTCTTGGATTATTTACAAGGATTTGCATAAAAGAAGTGTACAATCAGATAATACAAAATGTTCACTTTTGAATTTTCTGGTGCCACTAGCAGGACAGCTAGTTGAATTAGAAAAATGGAAATCAAATGTAAAAAAGTGGCCGTTAGGAAGAATATCTAAACGACAAAAACAGATGATAAATGTTGGAGACCATTTGCCACAACAAATACCTGCTAGAAAAAGGTGCTTTAGATGTTCACAAACTAAATCAGAAACTCGAACTACGCCTATTTGTACAGCGTGCAGCGAGCTTGTACAGTCTCTATGCAAAAATTGTTGTTTGCCACATCATTCATAAGAACTAATGTTTTTTTTTTGTAATATATTTCTTTTATTTTGAATAGTTTGTTTCTTTACTGATGGTATTTATTTATCCCACCATTCAACACTAATGGGACATATATGTCCCATGTCCTTTTCTAAGGATACAAGGACATGCAATAATGTAAAAAAATCAATCGCTTTGTTAGGTCTCTAGGTATCAACGAATATCGTTAAAGTCATTTTAAACAGTTCTATTTCGCTACAATGAAATCTGTTATGAAAGGTAGCTTGTTATGTAGTGTATTTTTCTAAACAGGTCTGTTGGCTGATTGTTTTGATCGTGCCAATATGGAATCATAAATATTGATTTTTCACTATTTAAAAACAAAAAATGATTTACGAACAAAGTGTCTAATGTACTTAATAATTCATTTCATTTATTTTTCATTGAAGCGTCTTAATAAACGTGAAATTGTGGTGAATTCACATTAAAGATAATAAATACCAATACAATGCCATCAAAAATAGTTTTCAAACAATATTTTTTTGTCTAGTTTCATTTTTTTGTTTAGTCATTCAAAATATCTCTATAATAACTTGTATCTTTCTCCGAATAATAAATTTGAATCGGCTACATTATATACCTACATTTAAGTCCCACGTTGAATGAAAGGCGCCTCCGATGACGTCAGACATTTAAATATTGCACGCTTTTGTATTTTGGATGCATTTAACCACGATGCAGCGTGTTATTTTCAGAACGCTTTTTTAGATGTTTTGTCATATTAACGTACTGAAAATATACCGACAAAATGGATTACGACATGTTTGTTTTCGACTTGTTTGTTTCGAAAGAAAGAAAATTCGACGAAGGGCATTGAACTCTAACCAACAAGGTTTTTGGGAAATTCGTACAGTGCAAAAGAAAAAGAATCTGGCAGTTTTAGTAATTCATAAAAGATCTGTGGTGTTTTGATTGATTTACAGTAGTGTTACGAAAGAATATATATAATGTCGGTTTACAACAATCTTCGACGTCTTCCAATTTGGAATCTCCATCTCATTCTATCGTTCCATAGATCGTCCTCCAGTTCTCTTTCCCTGATTTCTTTTATCAACTCCTTCTCTCTAACTTCTTGCCTACCTCTTGGTTGCCATTCAACAACTTGTCTTGGTATTCTATTCTCCTGCATCTCCTTAACGTTTCTGTACCATCTGAGTTATGTCATTTTGATGTTTGTTATTCTGTCGTGGCTAGAGATTCCCGCCGAGCGGCGCCAGAAGTCCATTTCTGTTGGTCTAAGCATTTTCTCTGTTCTGTCTTTTAGGGGCCACACTTCGTATCCATATGTTGTAATACTTTTTATTATGGTGTTGTATATTCTTCTTTTATTTTCCTTAGACATGTTTTTATCCCACAGTACGCTGTTCAGTAAGGCTATGCCCTTCCTTCCCTGTGTATTTCGTTCCTTAATGGCTGCATCTAATTTTCCGCTCCTGAATGATCTTTACTCCTAGGTATTTGTAGTCGTCACATAGTTTGATCTCTTGATTTTCCTCTACGACAAGGTTATGTTGATCTCCTCCGATACTCATGTACTCAGTTTTTTCATATTCACTTCCAAACCCCACTCTGTAAACTCTTCTAAGAGTTTTCGCATCATGTAACTAAGGTCTTCAGAGTCCTGTGCGATGATGACCTGGTCATCCGCAAAGCACAGAGTGTACAAAGTTAAGTCCATTAGTGGTATGCCCATATTCGTACATTTTTTCTTCCCTTTGTTGAGTGCTGCTTCGAGGTATATTTTGAATATTATTGGGGATATACAGCATCCTTGTCTTAGTCCTTTTGTCACTTTGAATCCCGGTGTTATTAGATTTCCTGTTTTAATTCTTGTTGTTTGTTCTTAGTACAACGTTTTTAGCGGTTCAATCAATTCTATATTTATATTTGTTTTCCCCAGTGCCTCCCATAATTTGTCAAGCGGGACACTTTTATATGCTTTCCTTGGGTCTACGAACGTCAGGTGGACTTCTTGGTCACGAGCAACTTTCTTTTCAATTATCTGAGTAATAGAGAAGACATGGTCTATTGTAGATCGACCTGCATGAAAACCAGCCTGTTCTTCGGCTTCCATATCTTGATATTCTTCTTTTATTCGATTTTTTATTTTATTTTCCCATATATTCTGCTAATACTACTAGTAACTGCAATTCCTCTACAGTTTTCAGGTTTCGATTTATCTTCCTTTTTATAGATGGTGCTCATATGCGATTCTTTCCATTCCTCAGGTATTTCATGATTATTTATGCATTCCTGGGAAAGTTGTAGCCGATGAATTAGTATTTTGGGTCCATGTTTGATGCGTTCCGGAGCTACATTTCCTGGGCCAGGTGATTCGCCATTTTTTAGATGTCTGAAAACGGTTTCAACTTTTCTCTCATTAATTCTGATTGGTGATCCCATCAGCCTGACGCCTTGTAGACCATAGTTCTCTAGCTGTTTGAAGGGCTCTCTTGTCTCTGTTTGTAAACCTTTAAAGTATTCTTCCCAAGTTTGCAGGTATATGGACTGGATAATATCTCTTTTTCTATTGTTTCTTAAAGCTTTTAATAGTTTCCAGCTTTCTGAACTTTGGCTTCCACCAATTTATGTATTTAGCATGGCGCACTTTTTTCCCAGGATTCATTTTTCTTTTGGCATATTTTTCTTCTGACCATCGCTTGCATTCTTTTGTATTTGATTCTGTCTTCCACATTTCTTGTTGCGAAAGAAACCAGAGCCAAAGAAGGAGTTGCCCTGTTAGTACAACGAAAATTTTTACACCAAGTACAAGAATGTAAATATACCTCTGAAAGAATAGTTAAAATAGAAAATAGAAAATGCTCCTGGCTGAAAAATGTAAAGACTGGACAGGCGTGGACACACATTCTATACTGAGAACAGCTCAAAATAAAAAGCAATTTGCTGTAATTGTAGTCAACCTTCAGTAATGAAGAGGGCACCTTAAGAAGATATTGCCAACAAGAGGCACAAATTGGGATAAAATGATTCAAACTTTGTCTGGAAGATGACATGTCTATCTAGACAAGATAGAGTGCCTAGCATACGCAAGTGTGTTCGTTGTAATCGGTATATCTGGTGGTATATCCACGAGGAATGTATAGGATTAACAAAAGTCAAAGTTTTCAATATCAATATTCACTAAACTTTGAATTTGTTCTTTAATTCTTCGATTTAAAACTTATTATTTACGTCAATCTTTGTGTAAAATGAAACTGGTCTTTGCAGTAACCAGTTCCAAATAAAACCAAATATTCAAGAATTATTTCAATGTTATAATTTAAATTTTTCTTTATTTATTTATTAAATATTTGTCCTTAAATTCAAATTTCATTTATACAAGACTTTTCCCCACATACTTTTACTAAATAAAATATTACAGACATTTATACCTTAACGTGATCTTATTTGACGTGCTTACCTTAGGTCAAAAGATTTAGCTTATATGCTTAAGCCTATATTCTAACCATAAAGAAATTTTTTAGTTCAATAATTTAGGTATTTAAGATATTCTGACTTCTCAGTTTTTTGCAGCATTTCTTGAAAAATTTTCCAGAGTTATTTCGAATAATAATCTAAAGAGATTAATTTAATCTTATAACTAAAAAGTCATTATTGTTTTGTCTCTTTATTTGTTCATTTCGAAATAATTGTCGACTTCGATTCATTTTTCTATAAATAGAGTAGGTCTACTAATTTCTAAACATGCCTTCGACATATAGTTTTTAACCCTTTTCCACCGCTTTCTGACATATTCTAATAATAAATATATTAAAATATAATTTATTAATTAATAATATAATGGACCTCGTACATGATATTTCCAAAAATGAATAAAGTAGAGCCATCTATTAAATGAGAGAGACACTAACGCGTTTCTATAACTATATGGTGTCTAAGATTATTTAACCAGTACAACACATTATTGTTTTACTGGTTGCCTAAAAGTAGGATTGTGTTTTATTCGAAATTAGAATAAATTAGCTACAAATATAAAAATCGGTAAAGGTAAAATTATATATCAAAATTATTCAGTAAAAATAAACTATGGGCAACCAAAAATAAACTATGTTACTCAATGAAATACTACAAGAAAAACAAACCGAAACAAAATTATCTAAATGTGTGTTATTTATATTAAATTAATCTTTTTTAATGTGGCGTTTTTCTATCAGAATGTTAACTGTAAACTTGAAAGTCACGCAGGTTATTTTAGTAGTAGTAGTACTGACTGACTTTGTGTTTAACCACTATTTGTCTGCCATTTCCTAATATTGTCGATTGTTAGATCGTGGCGACGTTTTTATATTGTTTACACGTTTAATTTACACCACGCAGCCAATCTAGTATTGCTCATCCTTGCTGTATGTCCCATCTACCTTTATTTATTTTATAATATGGTTGTACTTCCATTTAAAATTACGTTTTCAGTTCTGATTGTGAGTTTCTTGATTGCTTTTGCTCTACAAGCCTAGAATTTTGTTCCGTATGTCAATACTAGCATTGTACATTATGACTCTATGTAAATAGTGCAAAATATGGTGGTTATAAGTGTAAACTGTAGATATATTTTCGGAAGGTTATTCTTACATCCTCGAATAGCATCAAGCAAGTTTGGATTTACAATTCACCTTATACGCCCTCAAAGAGAAGTTTCCTTGTTGTTCAATATGTTTATTCTTCTTCTTCCTTTGTGTATGCCAATACTTCTTTGTTCATTTGGTGACTTATCTCATGCTATTCGTACTCTCCTATCCTCTGCCATTCTACTAATGTGTTTGTTCCACTCCTGTTTCCGTTTCATCACCCATCCATTTATGTATTCTATATTGTTTTCAGCTTCGCTTCTCTCCCGATCCAACGGACTTTTCCCTGATATTCGTCGGAGTATTTGCATCTCTGTTGTTTATAGTAGTCGTCTCGTTTTAGATGTGTCAGGTCTTTTATCCATTGTGTATGTTAATATAGGTCTAATTGCTGCTTTATAGATTTTTGTTTTTGTATCTTGTCTTAGGTGTTTGTTCTTTCAAATTATGTCATTAGGAGATCCTGGCGCTTTACTTGCTTTTAAGCTTTGTTGTCGTACTTCTTCTTCAACATCTCCGTAACTAGTTATATCTATTCCCAGATATCTAAACCTGGCTTCCTGCTTTATTATTTTCCCATCAATTTCGATTTTACACCGTAGTGGGTATTTAGATGTGTCATACATTTGGTTTTTTTCTGCTGATATTGTCATATTGTAGTTCTTGGCTGTTGTATTGAAGATGTGTGTTAATCTTTGGAGCTCGTCTTCTGTCTCGGTGATTAATGCGGCGTCGTCTGCATAACATAATATTTGGATTTCTTTTTTCCCATTCTGTAACCATTACCTTTACGTACTGCTTGTATTATTTCGTCCATTATTATATTAAAGAGAAGTGGGCTTAACGAGTCACCCTGTCTGACTCCGCTTTGTACTGGTATACATGTGTTAGTTTTCATTTATCTTTGCCTGTATTCGATTATGGAAGTAGATGTTTTCGATGGTTTGTATAATATTGATTGGTATGTTTCTTTTATACAGTAGGTGTAAGACGTCTTCGACTTGGATGCGATCGAAAGCCTTTGTCAGGTCTAAAAACAGAGATATGCTGGTTTATTGTACTCGATGGTCTTAGTACAAAATTTCGCAGATCCATATGTTAACTGCTTTATTAATATTTATAAATTTTGTAGCATTTTTATCTTGAACCCACTTTATTTTTAAAAATATTTTGCTTATAATCAGGACTCCAGTTATTACCTTGCATGTAGACAATCTATAGCATGCCCCACATATTGTCTGGTGGTAACAGCCAAAGAGAAGGTTATTAAAAGGATGACGGTAGCGTTCGTGTTCAGCCTGAATATCGAAGAATCTATTGTATAACCATTGATCTGGAACAAAAATAGTATTTTTAATAAAATGTTTTAAATTGGTTTCAAAATTAGAATTACGAGTCCCTTCCCATATCATTTGACCCACCTATGGAATTTGCAAATACGAAGTCGATTACCATAAACAAATTATACTCTGCATGTTTTTATATGTTCCCATATTAATTAATATGACATTTTTATTAATATTTATTAAAAACATTACCCTCATGGTTTATTATTTATTTTCAACAATAAAAAAAATCACTAAACCCTGGCTATGCATTCACGTATGTCAACTTACGTTGATATTTTCATAATTACTTTAAATACAGAGGAAGCTATGGAAAAATGACATGTTCTTCTCCTTCTTCACACTTTACAACTCGGAGTGAGTCTTCGCCGCATCCACTATCGCCCTCCATCCTCTACGATCTTGCGCTTCTATTTCCCATGTGTACCCAATTCTAGATAAATCGGCTTCAACATTACCCTTCCATCTTTTTCTCGGTCGACCTACTGATCTTCTACCATCCGATGGTTCAAACAATACTGTCTTTAACACTCTGTCATCCTCTGATCATACCACGTGACCTTCCCATCTTATTCGGTTTGCCTTGATTTGTCTAACTATGTTTTCAGTTCCATATAGAGTCACCAATTCAGCATTGCAGCGTCTTCTCTAATCCCCTGTGAATTCATCTCTTTGAGGGCCAAATATTATTCTGAGAACCTTTCTTTCAAAAACAAGAAGCTCATTGATTTCCCGCTGGTTGAGAGTCCATGGGGTCCAATTGGGCCAATAATCGACTTGTACAGTGTTAATTTAGATTTTCTCAAGCGATATGCCTTCTATAGTTTCGAAATTGTTGTTTGTTTCCTTTCTTATATATGAGGAATTATAACACTTCCTTTCCAATCTCTAGACATTTTCTGTTGTTGCCATACTCTCAGAATGATAGTCATACAATTTTTGGTGTAAAAGGTTTCCTCCTTTTTTAACAACTCTCCATTTATGCCATTATTTCCTGGTGCTTTATGGTCTTTTAGGGACGCGATCGCATTCTTTACTTCCTCAAGTGTTGGTGCTGGTATTTCGATATCTGCAGAATGAAACGTAATATCTGCTTCATCCACTTTCAATATTTAGTAAATTCCAAAAGTATTCTTTCCATTGTTCGACGATTTCCGTTTCTATCATTATAAGTTCACCTGCTTCATTTCTCACAGCCTGTGTTACTCCAACACTTGCACCTTTTCTGACAGTTCACTTTACTAAAGAATTTCCGTATTTGATGGAGAGCAAAGTATAGAGAGCGTCTTTGGGATCAGTTTGGTATATAACAAGGAAACATTTGCAAAACTTTGACAAATTGTCGTCTGTGGGAAATTAATTAAAGTTTTTCCACGATATGATCAACGAGTATGAAAGAAGAGGAGTAGAACGAGTGACAGAAGGAAATTGAACATACTTTTCCAGATACCTACTTTATAATAATTCTTCTAAATAAAGAGTCAATTGCAAAAACGGTTTTATTTGATTATTCAGCGATTGTCGATATTTCACAATGACATCAGGTAGATTTGCAAATGATTATATATTCGAGGATATCAATATGGCTATTATAGTAATAATTCTTTTAGTTTAATAATATTTTCTTACCGTTTGCGTCAACTGATAAACTCCTCTTATGATCTCCCTCGGAAAATTCATACTAGACCTCCGTCCTCGCCTAGGATGTCCACCGATCTCTAGTAGTTTGTTTGGAGATTGCGTCGCAGGCTTCGGTTTTCTTAGCGATTGGAGAAACACCCGCTTTTCTTTTGGTTGCTTCGCTGGAACGGTACCATAGTGCTGGATCTTGACGGTTTGGGGTCGTGTGGGGTCAGTCATTTGCTAGTTTACTGAAATTAAAATATTTTAACATTATTTCACACAACTAAAGGAATTAACGATTCGAATTACCATGTTTAATAGTATACTGAGTTAGGCGTGATGTAAATGATTGAGTCTCTCCAATTGGTATTATGAAAAAAGCACTCGACGATAGATCAGCTCTGTAGGAGTTCATATCATCTTTAATCATTTTTGTTACTATCGGCTGGAGATTTAGCAGAACCTTGCTCATAAGGGCATTCCTTGCCGTTTTTACAACCTGAGTTGCATTTTGCAAGACGTTTGACAGCATTCTTTTTGCTCATCTTTCTTTGTTACTCAAGAACCTTTGGATGTCACCAATTCACTGTCTTGTTTTCGTTTAATGGATCACTTCCTACTTCTAGGTTAAAGTAATTCTCGCCGCTACCACAGTATATTGCTTTAATGTACTGTGCCATTTTGGGGTGAAAAGTCCTATTTGATTAATGAATGTCAGTTCATATGCAAGAAAAATGTCAAGAGATAGAAGAGCTAGAAGGAAGACACGATAGTTTTAACATGCATAAAAAAATCAAGGAGTTTACTTATACTTACAAGAAAAAACAGTTGGTAGGTTAATAGACGAGAACAATAAACTTATTGTAGATAAAGAAGAACAGTTACAGACTTGGGCAATCTACATAAAAGATTTGTTTACGGATTATCGTCATATTTCTACGAACATTCTTGATCTGAATGGACCAAAATATTGAAAAGTGAGGTGATAAAAGCTATAGATCAAACGAAAGATGGGAAAGCAACAGATGCGATGAAATACCAGTCGAATTCTTAAAAGTTTTTAACGAGAACAACCTGAATGTAGTATTGGAACTGTTTAATAAGATATACGATACTGGTCAAATTCCATCGGACTGGTTGAAATCTACATTTGTGCCCCTTCCCAAGAAATATAATTCTAAGACGTGTAGTGAATATCGCCTTATAAGTTTAATGAGCCACACCCTTAAAGTATTTTTGCGTATTATCCATTCCAGAATACGAGCAAAATTAGAACACAGCATAAGTAAAACACAGTTCGGTTTTAGATGCGGTTTTGGAACTCGAGAACCCCTCTTTGCAATACAAGTTTTGATTCAAAAATGCCTGGATCAACAGAAAGATGTTTACGTCTGTTTTATCGACTATGAGAAAGCATTCGATACTATTACCTCATAGAACTATTACGTCTTTCAGGACTTGACACTAAGGACATCCAGATTATAAAAAATCTATATTGGAATCAAACAGCCCACATGAAGAATGGACATATGGTGAGTGAAAACATAACCATTTCTAGAGGGGTAAGACAGGGCTGTATTCTTTCGCCACTGCTTTTCAACCTGTACACGGAACAAATATTTCTAGAGGCACTAGAAGAGTACAATGAGGGCATCAAGATTATTGGCGTACCAATAAGTAATTTTCGATATGCAGATGATACTATTATACTGGCCGATAACATCGAAGATTTACAGATGATGCTACATAGAGTTAATACAACTGGCAGCCGATTTGGACTGAAGATCAATAGAAAGAAAACTAAATTTATGGTGATCAGTAAAAAAAAATTTCAACATATCGACCTGCATATTGAAGACGAACGTATTGAAAGAGTACACCGATTTAAATATCTGGGATATACAGTAAATGACAAGTGGGACCCAGAAGTAGAGATTAAGATCCGAATTGAAATAGCAAGATCCAAATTCATCAAAATGAGAAAGCTCTTAAGCAACCGCAACCTAAGCATTAACCTCCGATGGCGCGCCACGAAATGCTACGTACTCTCTACGCTACTTTACGGCGTAGAAGGGTGGACGTTAACAGCAGCAACTATAAAGAAGTTAGCGGCTCTAGAAATGTGGCTGTATCGACGCATACTGAGAATACCTTGGACAGACAGAGTGACCAACACAGAGGTATTAAGACGAATGGGTAAAGAGGTGGAATTGTTAACAACTGTTAAAAGGAGGAAAGCGTCATACCTGGGCCATGTGTTCCGTAATGATAAGTACAGTCTGCTACAGCTTATCGTGGAAGGCAAGATTGAAGGTAGAAGAGGTTTGGGCAGAAAGAAGAAATCCTGGCTGAGAAACTTGAGAGAATGGTTTCAAATACCAGAAGCTGCGAACATAATTCATGCGGCACAAAACAGAGAAACCTATCGTATGATGGTCGCCAACCTTCGGTAGAAGACGGCACATAAAGAAGAAGAAGTTCATATGCACCAAGATAAGAAAAAGGTAGTAATCTTTATTCATTGATCCACATCTATATCTCTTCTTGTAGTGCCTACCCTTTTTGGATGTTGGTGACCATTATGGCAATCTGTATTTTGCAAACTGCTACTCTGAAAGGATTTGTGGTTGTTGTGTTGAACCACATACGTAGATTTTTCAGCCAGGAATTTCTTCACCTTCGTGGTCTTTGTTTTCCTTCTTCTTTTCGATATTGGCTGTTTTTATTGTGGTCACCAACTAAATTTTTAATAAAACGTCCTGGTTAGTAACGTGATCGGTATATGATACCTTTAAGATTCGACGACAAAGTCACATTTCGAAAGCTTTAATTATCTTGCAAGTATGGTCTGTAAGAGTTCACGAATAGGAAAGATATGCCATCGGTAGTAACCTGATTTTTATGGGTACTGATAAATCATGGCATCTGAATAGATTAGCCATTTTTTTGAACTGCAGATCTTACTCTCTCTATGCTAGATTTTATTTCTAGGGAATGGTTCCAATTTTTATTTACGTTCATACCAAGGTAGTTGTATGTTTTTACTCTTTCCATTGGTTGACCCTTGATTCTTCCAATTTGCTGTTCCTTCTTAGAGAAAGGACGTTTATATCTACCCTCAAAATAAAAATATACATTAATAATAGGTCGCTGGTCTATTGGTCAATAAAAGGTTTTTGAAAGTTCTGAAAGATGAAATCAAGGGGAGATTGTGGGATCAAAACGCAATGAAAAATGAATTTTCTTTTGTAAATAAATTGGCAGGTGCTGCAACGATTTTCTTTCTTCTGCCATTTTACGAATCGATAAATGAGTATTGATTCTGTTTTAAAAAATTTTGCCATACGTGTTACTGGCGCCCTATTGGTTTTGTAATTATGACCTAATTAACCTTATTACATAGGTCAGTGTCAGTAATTTTCTCCTTCAAGTCACATAGAAGTTTGTTAGTTTTCACGATAATCAACATGCAAAAAAATACATAATGGCAGGTCGAAAAAACGAAAAATTTTACACAAAAAAAAAAGTTACACATATTGTGGAAATCTGAAAGATTTCATGGAACATGTGAGGCGCAATGTTGAAGCCCCAACTAAATCAGCTCATATACGGATGAAGAATATGATAAAAAGACACAGTGCATAGACATCACTAGGTAAAGATCACAAACCGGCAAAATATCTAAGAATGAACCGCAAAATTCGACCTAAATAATGGAAGAGCATTACTCTCTTATTTATCTTCTATTATTCTTCTTCTTAGAGTGCCTGTCTATTCCGAACGTTGCAATCATTCTGGCTATGATGATTTTGTTGGTTGCTACACGAAATAACTGTATTAAGGTCTTTCTATACCATGCTCTCAGGTTAGCAAGCCAGGATATTCTTCTTCGTCCTGGGACCATTTTTCCTTAAATTTTACCTTACAAACTGCACTGAAGTAGCCTTGATTTCTCATTACATATCCCAAGGACTTATCAACCAAGGGAACAGGCAGGATTCCGAAAAAGTTACGGAACAAATGACCATCTACAAAGTATAAAAACCCTAATAGAGAAAGCAGTGGAATACAATAAACCTCTAGTTCTAATATTTATCGATTTTCACAAAGCCTTTGACACAGTTGAGCTGAGCAAAAATATTACAGGCGCTTAAAGAATGCAGGCTAGATTATAGATATACCAAATTATTATACAAGATATACCTGCAGGCAACAACCACTGTCAGATTACATACTAACAGTAATCACATAAAAATAGAACGGGGGGTTAGACAAGGAGACCCAATGTCACCTAAACTTTTTAATACGGTGCTAGAACATGCTTTTAAGAATTTGGATTGGATGACAAAGGGAATAAAAATAGATGGAGAATATCTAAACAACTTACGTTTCGCCGATGATATACTTATAATAGCTGAAGATCTAGGTATGGCAAGAGAGATGGTACAGGAACTCGTTATGGCTACAGAAAATGTATGTTTAAATATAAATATCTCGAAAACAAAAATCATGACCAATTTGGTACCCAACCAGAACATCAGTATTGGTGGGAAAGAAATAGAACTCGTAGATAGATATAATTACCTGGGACATGAAATTATGATTGGCAGGGATAACCAGACTCGTGAACTGAAGAGAAGAATCGGCCTTGGGTGGGCAGCATTTGGAAAACTGAGAGAAACTTTTAAAAGTGAGCTGCCCACATGCCTAAAGAGAAAGGTATTTGATCAGTGTGTCCTCCCAGTCTTGACGTACGGAGCAGAAACACTTACCTTAACAAAAGCAGCAGCTACCAAACTGAGAGTCACGCAGAGAAGAATGGAGCGGTCCATGTTAGGAATAACTCTGCGAGACAGAATAACCAACGAAGACATCAGGAGAAGAACCGGAGTGACTGACATCATCGAGAGGATAGCCAGACTAAAATGGAGATGGGCAGGACACCTAACCAGAATGACAGATGGGCGATGGACAAAGAGGTTATTGGAATGAAGGCCAAGGGAAGACAAGAGAAGCGTCGGTCGACCACCTACAAAATGGACTGACGATTTAAGAAGACTCAATAAAAACTGGATAAGAGCGGCGCAAGATAGACGGGGTTGGAAACATAAGGAAGAGGCCTATGTTCAGCAGTGGACTCTCGAGGCTGGATGATGATGATAATAATCCCAAGGACTACAGCTTACGACCCTTACGATGGTCAGACTTTTCTCTATAGTTCCTGCATTTCTGCATTT